ACTTATAATGTGATGAAAACTGAGTCGGTAAAAGAATGGATTAAAATTTAATTTCCCAAAATAAATTGGTCTACTAAAACTAAATAAAATAGATAAGTAAATAGTAAAAAAATTGTGTAACAAAATAAATAATGATTTTTCTTAAAATACTGCCCAATAAAACATGTCGAATAATTGAAAGTTCACAAACTTGAAAGCTAAAATTCTAAAAAGATTTCGGAAAATTCGGCAGTCACATGTTAAAAGAAACAAGTCTACAGGCTACTAGTACAAAGACAGAGGAGGGAGACGAAACTAAACCGAACAACTACTTCTTGGCATTCAATAGCGGGGAGGCAATTTTATGGCTTATCCATCACACTAAGGGGAAGCAAACATACTGCCTTAGGCTGGGCCATCTTAGAGAGATTTCAGGAAACGAAAGCGATTTTTTTTTGGAGGGGTTTGTTGTCTGACAACGCGACCGTTTTCGAAGCACTTCGTTCCGAAGGCGGGCTCGTTGATGGGTTAAACACTTATTTCCTCGAATAAATTCCAGAATGGATTAAACATGATTTAATTCGCAATAATAAAAGAAGGTGTTATCTTTTTCATTGTGAAGCTTAGTTTCTCTAGATTGGCAACAAATTAGTTATTTTGCCAAGTTTGAAATGTAAACAAACTTGTCCGCCATCACAAAAATTTTAGGCTTAGCTACACTTAAACAACTTTTAAATTGTTAACTCCACAAATATTGCATGCAGATTTACTAAAGGCATAAAAACCTTAACCGGAAGATAAGAACAACATATTTCAATCATTTTTAAAGCAAAAAATGCACAACTTACAAACATATAAGAGTAAAGAAACTGTGATCACTGAGCTGGTTAACAGAGTGAATATATATATATACATATATTTATATACATTTCGTGAGGCCAATTGCAACCAAAATACGAGGTGCACATCTACATGTTATAGCAGTCTTGTATACAAAATTGCAACATTGTGAGGCTACTCGTTTTTGAGCTATGGGAGATATGTACGTACGTATGCACAGACACAATGAAAAATTCTCTTCAGAATTCATTTTAAATCAGTTTTATATTTTTGGCTGGAAAAAGTCTTTTATTCTGTCCTTACATACAGATGTCATGCAAAAACATCGTTAAATTGCATTTGATAGCGATCAAAATGAATATTTTCATTGAAATATGATGCCTGAAAATTTTCACGATTACAATACTTCCTTTTTACTTCATACAAGGAAGTAAAAAACTGTGGGATTTTCTGAATGAACTCTTATATCTGAGTTCTTTTAAAATGGTGTCATTAATTATACAGAATGAAAACCTCCTGGTTTTTCTTGGTTTTTAAGATTTTGAGGTTGGCAGTTACGCTATTTCTTCAAATTCCAGGATGTACTGAAACATTTGCAACTGTTTAACATTATTGAAAATGTAAATATTATGATAACAAAAATATTGTTCAGATCAAAAAACGTGGGAGATTTTGTACGTCTTTAGTAATTGTCTGAATTAAGAAGGCAGATGAATATTAAAAAAATAAATAAATAAAATTTAGGGCATTGTGTTTTAGAAAAGAAAAGTGATGGAGGAAAATTTTATCTTTAAAGATTACTTCAGAGCTTTGCATTTAATTAAAACCATTGAAACTATCATTATATTGGTATTGCAGTAAAACCCTGACCGTTGAGCTTACCAGAAAGTTCAAACAACTAAATTATTTTAGAAAAAATTCTTCCCGTGAAAAATTTAATTAAATGAGAGATTTCCCCCACCTCTAATGATTTTATAATACCATTGCAGAACTCTATTAATGCATAAACATTATTAATGCTATTAATACATAAACATTGTCTAGTGCAGTTAAGTGTCAGTAATGGATAAGCATAATACCACAATCATTTTAGTCTAGTGCAAATTTGATTAATTTTTGATTAGCTGGTTTAATTTTCATAAAAAAAAGATTATAAGTTCTGTTTTTTCCTTCACATTTTGGAATGGAACTTCATGAAGTGAAGTATTTTCAAAGTTAGAGGATCCAGGTATGTATTTAAAAAAAAAAAAGATATGCGACTTTGAAAATGAATAAACAATTGTGGTACAATGTGAAAAATAATAATAAGAAGAAAATAATAAGAAAAAAACAAAAAGCAAGGAAAATTCAGAGAAAAAGAATTTAATTTATGAACAGATTCAAAATGAATATTTGAAACTTTTTATTTTGATCTATTTTATTTATATAGGTTTTTTATGTTTAAATTAATCTAGCAGACCTCAAAGTACAAGTAACCCTCCTATAACACGGTAGATAGGTTCCTAGAAAATGCCATGTTGTGTAAAACCGTGTTGTACGAGGCCCAGAGGCAGTGGTACGTTCCAAAAACTTATTAAAACTAAGTATTTTTTTAATTCTACATAAATAACTTTAATTTTTATTAAAAATATAAATCTATGTACAACACAAAATCAAAAATATTATTTTAATTTAATGCAACTTTAATTTAATTAATTTCTTTGTCGTCATTGCTCAGTATAATCAACCGAGAACGATTTTTCGGTGAAATGAGATCGCTTTCACTCTCAGAATATTTTTCTTCATTTAAAGTTCTGGCACCTTCTTCCCCTTTTTCTTGTTTTGGTGTAAAGGTTCTACTGGGCACTTTTTTCCACCACAGCCCAGTTTCGTCGGCGTTGAAAACTTGATCTGCTGTGTATGCCTGCTCTTGTATAATATTTTGAATTTTTTCAGGAAATGTCCTAGGAGATTCATAATCAGCCGATGCAGTTTCCCCTTGAATTCATATGCTATGAATGGCAAAACACTTTTTGAAATTTTCGAACCAACCTTTATTTGCCTCAAATCTGGGTTGACAGAGGATTCTCCATGTTCTTTAAGCTTGTAAATTTTGAGTGCTTTTTATTTAATGATATTATTATCCAATGGAGATCTTTTTTGACAATTATCATCAATCCGCTGAGTGCCTTTTCCATCTTCTCAATTATTGGCATCCGCGGGTGAGCTGCACATTTGCGGATGTCGAAGATCCTGCAGCAACTGCACTTGTTAATAGTCCGGACAGTTGCTTCATTCAAATTAAAATGATTTCCAATGTGAGATGCCTTTTCTCCTTTTAAAAGACAATCCAAGATTTGCATCTTTACTTCTAAAGAAATAAATTTTCTCTTAAACTTTTTTTAAAATGTTTATCGGACATATTTTGGGACTGAAACTTAATGCAAAAAAGTCATTCTTTAACACACCTTGGCTCCACGCAGACTGACGACCAGCAGCATGAGACGCTTTTGTTTTCAGGCCATGTAGATGAGAATTCAAATTTTGGAAGCCAAACATTCGCGTTTTGGAGCTCTTATTGTGACCTCGTGTCGTTCATCTTCTGCAATAGTGAGGTTCCTTCATTGTTATCTGATGGCTTTGGTCTTTTGTGACTGGTTGTTGTTTCTGTTGTGCTATACTTTGACAGTCATGGAAAGAAATGATTTTTCACTTGTTACCAGTTAAAAATTTAACGGTCCGTCTCTACTATGTGGCTACTGAGGATTTTTGTTTTTATCGGAACCAGATCTTGGAAGACAACTGCCAGGACATACGAAACAATTAACTTTTAAAAGATTGAAAAGTTTGGAAAGGTTTACTTAAAAATACAAGAAATAGGAACCACCCCCTTCAATTGCCATTTCAGTGTGAAACTCTACTACTTTCCACGTGTTACGAATCTTGTTACTTTTACATCTACTGTATGCTTGTCAGGTGATATCATCTATATCTTGCGTTCAGTATTCACAAGGAACTGATAGAAACAAACATGTGATCCAAAATCAACATCTCTTTTATCCCTGGATAGCGTATTTACACAGGTACCAATCACACGCAAGCTGCAAATTTTCCTGAGCTGACAATGACTATTCCCTTTCCCTGAGGGGTGAGGAGGCAGAATTTCTCTGACCGATATTTGAGTCAGAGCCTTTTTTTTTTTTTTTTTTTTGAGACCCTACAAATCTGGCATATATTTCGGCCACTGTCTTCTTATGTTGGTGCTTTGTTCAATATATAAAAACTTTGTGCGGGTGTTCCTTGAATTTCATAGTCAATTTTCTAATCGTGTTAGAGCAAAACCGTTTTATAGGATGGCATGTTGTAGGAGGGTTCTCGCAATTTATGATGTGTGTTATAGCGAAACCATTACAAGATACCGTGTTGTAGGAGGGCTACCTATACATGTTTTTGTTATTTATTTTCTAAAGGACAACTTGTTAAGTGGATAAAACCATTGAAAACTGGTAGCTTTTTAACATAAGTTTTCTGCTCTGAAAGTCTTCTAGGAAGACATCACTTCAAAATCATGACTTTTTGAGTGCTTTTCTGTTATAAATTATGTGGTAATAGCTATAAAATATAAATTTATGATTATATACTATAGTTATTGTATATGAAGCTCACCAATTCTTAAATAGACAAATTTCTATTTTCATAACTTTTTATGTGTAGGAAATTGAAGAAAATAAAAAGAAGAAAGTATTTTAAATAACATGGTAATATAAAAGGGTAGCAGATCTAGTGGCTAGAAAAAAAAAAAAAATGATTAAGTTGATCAAGGGATTTATTCATAGTTTTTTGTGATTTGAAAAGTTATTGCTGTCATGTTAGCAGATAATTATGATTTGTTCTAAGTAATGTAACTAATATTTAACTAAATATTATTTCTGCTTATTTTCGGTAATTTTTACAAAGTGTAATGAATTTTTCATAATTAATAAATTATTGTTTTTATAAATGAATAAGCTTTTAGGAAGCAATTATGTGAATAGCTTCAGTTCATAAAGATTTATGTACAGCTATTAAGAACTGAAGCTTAGAATCAAACGTGAGCAATATTTTTGTATAAGAATTTTTTAGCATTAAGTGATGTATTTATATAAATAAAAAATTGAAATGCAAAATGATTTCCTTTTTTCCTCTCCTCTTCCCCTTTTTAGAATGCATTTTTGCAATATCTCCAGAAGTGAAGTATATTCATTCTCCAGTTCATGATGCAATGAATGACACAGTTGGGAAATGTCGTTACATATATAATAAAGATGCTCATCATCGTTTATTACCAGCCTTTATATTTGAAGAATTTAATTTTAGTTCTTCTATAATCACCCTCAAAGGTACCACCTCTGATGGACATTATACTGGTAAGAATCTTATTTTTAGTTTTGATTGCTAGATTAGTAAGGTGATATTCTTTAAAGATTCCTTTTTCAGTTTTTTTTTTAAATTGAATTTTAGGCTTTTTTTAATTCTTTGATTAAATTTTAAGCAGTCTATTGTAAATATGAAATTTTTGAAATAAGTAATAGTTTGTTTCTTGTGGAAGAAAACATTATCAGCTCTAATCTTTAGTAAGGACTTATCTGCATTTGTTAAAAATGAATTATACTATTTGCCTCAAAAATATATTCCTAATCTTCAAAGTAATAGGTAAAAAAATATGCTTTTATTCTTTGTTTCTATTTTTTAATGCCATCGGGTAGAATTCTTGAATAGTCCTAGCAGATCACTGGTATTTCTTTTTAAGTCTAGTGTTCAGAAAAATGCAAATTAAATCGAGTTCATAAAATATGCAAAGTCATAAGAATAGCTCTTAGATATTTTATAGTAAAATAACTAAATGATATAGAGAGAAATTCAATGTTTTACTAGTCAGAAATTTTCTCAATTACAGTTCAAGTTATCCATTTCAAGTAAAAAGAAAAAGAGCAGCTCTTTTTGAAGTTCATTTAAAACATTGCAGGCCATTAAATTTCCTACTTCAAGAAGAAGATGTGCAACAAGCATGAAATTTGCATGAAAGGCACAGCATGCTTGAATATGTAAAGGTTTAGCAATTCAGTGCATGCATATGAAGCAATTATGAATAATGCCATCTGCATTGTGCATAAATGAGAAGATTGTACTATGGGTTTCTAACTTGGAAATCACATTTAAATGTTGGTTATTTGTATAAAGTTTGTATTATAAGCCTTTTGTAAAACAGAGTAACTCATGCCAGTACATAGGATTCAACAGTAGCAGGATCATCGTGACCTATCGGAATTGGAGTTTATAATTCCAGAATATTGTTGCTAATTTTAGTAGAGTTCCCATGATCAGACAAATATGTAATTGGTGAATCAAGGAGGGCCATACAGAATCCCAAGCAGGATCTCAGTGACCCTAAGCCACTAGTGCTCGAGAAGACAGACGTATCCTATCAGCCTTACAGGATTGTGTAATGATGTCACATAACTTGAATCTGGAACTTGTCTCGTGTGCAACTTTATGCATAGACAGTGATGTCTGCAGTACCATTTACCATCAGCATGACAATCGTTGTTGCTGCGTTTCTTGATACCGCAGCAGAGACAGGTGTGCCTCCAGTGCTGCAATGAATGGCAATACTGGGCACAGAAATCGTACCATGTCACCTTCTCAGATGATTCTTTGCTCTGCATATAGCATCTTGATGAATATATCTGTGTGTGGAGGCACCAAGGAGACATTAGTTGCCATCTTGCTTTCTTCATCATAATATGGGCCCGTTATCTGGGGTGCCATTAGGTTACACTTCCCAGTGACCTCATGTTCACATAGACTAATATGCATAGCCCACGTTAGATTTCTGACATGTTAATGCCCGTAACTGTGTCCTATCTTTGAGGATTGCATGTAGCTGTCTTTCAACAAGATGATACATGCTCACATGTTGCTCCTGCTGTCTTAATCTTCCTCAGAGCATTTGACTGTTGACCTGGCTAACACATTTCTCATCTCTCTCACACATTGAAAATATCTGGTCATGAGTTGCCAAGTGATTGGTCACATGGTGAATTCTGAAATAAGAGTTGAAACCCCATGGAATAAAGTACCTGTATCTGTAATCCAAACTTAGTTTGACTCAATGCCAAGCCAGATTACAGTCGTTTGCTGCTGCCAGAGGTGGCAGCTGTGTATCCTGAATTCTGAAGACCAAACCACCTGCAAATTAAATCATGTCTTCCTCCACTTATGCTCTATATGCACAGTAATTAAGATTTTACTATTTGTTTTCTTTCCTGGTGTTGCAATTTTAATGGCTAGCAATATTTTTTTAATTCGAGGTTACTTCTACTTCATTTTCCACACCGTGTTTGTTTTCAGTTTGATATCTATGATTGATTCTGCCTTTATATTTTTGTGTTCTATACTGTTGTGCCTCGTGCTTGCTGATATTGATTTAGAAAGCCTACTCAACCAGTGAACAATTTCCTCTAAGGGCAGAATTATGTGGTATTGGGAGGGAGGATTTTTGTTCTTCAGATTGGTATACTTGAATGCAGAGTTCACGGCAAAGAATAACTATGGCCATGGTTAAAATCATAAAAACCAAAGCCGCTGGAAAAATTACAGTTGAGACATCATCTGTGCATAGTGGAATAAATTGAAGAGTATTCTTATTTATATTTTTCAAATATAATCATAATTTATGTATTTAGTAAACATATAAATATCACATATCTGCAGAGTTCTGTAATAGGTATGATTATTCAACATCACTTGTAAAACATGAATATTATCTGTGAATATTAGCATGCAGCTAATATTAATATTTATTCCTTCTGAGCAATTCATATTTATAACCTTCTGAGCAACCAGTACTTTGGCTATAAAGCCCTGACATTTTGGGAAGGTCGTGAAAAAGAGGTATTTCCTTTATTATAATTTTGAATTGCCCTTGCTGTTTTGTGCTTGTAAGCTTTTCCTGCTTTTTCAATGGATTTTATTAACTTCAAAATGCAAATGTATGTATTATATAAAGGTATTAGAACAAATGTTGTTGAAACTGATGTTATAATTTATGTAAATATGCGAGCAATCCCAAAAATAAGGTCTCTTACGATTGTTGGACTTACTATTGTGAGTGGTACTTCCTGCACTCCCAGATAAGCATACTTCCTTCACTGAAATGCTCAGTTTTGGCTTTGCAGCCACTCAAAATGGAGCTCTTGTAGAAAGCTACCACCAAGAGTGAAGTTTGGGTAGTTATTCTGGTACTATTCGGTTTTGAGTGCCGTAAAAAATCGCCTAACTATTGTTGATGCATGCTAGTGCTGCCAAAAATAATTGCGACAGCCCTAATGCAAGAAAGGAAGTATAATAGTAAATAACTATCTAAGATTGATGTTTTAATTTAGATGAAAGGTTAATTTCATATAATACTTTTTTATTATTATAATTTTTATAACAAACAGCTAAACATGACTGAATTGATGCATAAGAGTAAATAACTATTTCAGATCATTATTATAATTTATATAACAATTGCTAAACATAACTGAATGAATAAATGCATCGCTATTTCGCTACCGAGTCATCGCTAAAGCATAATTTCATCTCGTTGGTTGTTCAAACATAATTTTCTATAATGAATGATGCTTTTTCTTTGAAAAAATTCTTGTCAAAGTGCAGAATTGCCTACTTATTTGTTTGCCGCTTTTTACAAGGGTAAAAAACAATTGGATTTTTGTCTGTTAAATGGGCGCATTTGCTAGATTTGTTGCTTTTGCGCATAAATTTTCGCTGCAACTTTTTCACGATCCTCAAAGCGGAATAGTACTGTTATTCTCTTTTTGAATGCAAAATATGTTCAGCCACTTGAAATTCATCGCCAGTTGACAGAAGTGTATGGACAGTATGCGTGGATGTCAGACACATTTACAGTGGTGTAGAAAGTTTACAGTCAGTCATACCAAAATTCATGACCAAGAAAGGAATGATAAATTGTCAATTTCTGACAAGAATAAAGGTTGAAAAAAACATATATAGATCACACGGTCAGTCTGGATGCTCTCTGCATGTTAGTTCCTGAGATTTCATGGAGCACCATCCACGAGATACTGATAGAAAAACTACTATATTGAAAAGTTTGCATGAGAAGTGTACCTCATATGCTGACAGAAGACCACAAATGGCAATGATTCTTCCCGTGATTTTCTTCGCTGCGATGCAAAGGAAAACAACAACTACTTTGTTCTTTATTGTCATGGGTGACAAAGCCTAAGCATTCCACATTACAGCTGAGACCAAACAATAGTCACATGAGTGGTATCATCCTCTTTGTCTATGTTGTAAAAATTCAGACACGATCTGCCAGTAAAGTTATGGCAGTTGTGTTTTAGGACTGGGAGAAGGTATTTTAGTTGACTTGCCTGCTGAGATTACAGTAAATGCTGACAGGTACTATGAAACACTAAGAAACTTGGAAGGACATTTCAGAATCGGAGAAAAGGAGTGTTGACTAAAGGGTTCATCCCACTCCAAGCATTCTTCACAACAATACCCACTCATATGTCACCCATCAAACTGTCATTCTTCTGCAAAATTGTAGTTGAAACGTCATCACCTACCCACTATATAGTCCATACTTTGGCACCCAGCGACTGCAAATTGTTCCCTAGGTTGAAAACAAATTTTCTGGACAGGGATTCTGCTCCAATGATGAGGTGAAAGATGAGGTTCAACGCTTTCTAAAGGACATGACCGCGAGCTGGTATGACTTGGACATTGTAAAACTGCCACAGCATCTAAAAAACTGCATCAACCGAAATGGCGCTTATGTAGAAAAGCAAGGCAGTCTTCAACCTTCAAATTGATGTAAATATTATTGAAAATAAGCAGTTGTTTTAATATCTTAAAATACAGGAGACATTATTTTTGGAATAACCCTCGTATTCATTTACATTTTGTGCTGTTGTGTACATGTGTTTGTGTCTTTAATCGTAATTTCGTTTTTCAGTTTAGTTTTGGTAATCTCTAATGTATGGCATGCGTTTATATTTTTTCCTTTATTATGTCATAGAAAACTTGTAATTCTGAATAAATGCGCATTGGAATCATGAAAATAGTGTAAGAATATTGGTCCTTGCCAAATAGAAGCTGTTCCACAACAAATTTTTGATGGTCTTATGATATTTAGAAATTTTCCAACAGCTTAATAACAATATGAAAATTTCCAGGAAACACATATTCAAAATCCAGTGAAAGATATTTCAGTTATCTCTTATGCGCCCAACCCTTCCGCAGAGTCGCTACTCATTGCCACTTATTTTTCACTAATCTAACCTGTGAAAAATAGTAGCCATTTTAAAAAATGGTAGTGCATTGGAAACTGCATAAAATAGCAATGAATTAATGAAATTAAAAACACAAGAAACATCCATACTAAAACTAAAAAAATTGCATAAAACAAACATTCACAGCAAAACATTGAGAATTGCATAAAATAGCAACAAATGACTAAACTAAAAATGCAACAAACATTTATAAGTAAACATTTAACTTTTTTTTTCCCCTGTATTCTACCCATATGCATAGAGATCTGTTTAGCTTTAAAAAGTCAAAGAATTGGAGAATTCATGGCTTCACAGAGCAAATTGGCACTGTTTTCTCAGTATGTGAAGGGGCCTTATGTCGGAAGAAAAATCCTTCAGAAATCTCATGTTCTGTGCAAAGATCTGGGAAACTACTCAGCTGATGGGTATTTTCAGAGCATCTGTAATTTTTAACAGGCAACACTTTTTCCAAATTTGTATACACACCTTTAGTAGAGATGGCATGTCCAAGCTAACTCGCTTCATGCCTGTCATTTGGCAAGACTAAGTTTTAGGTTGGCTTCTTTCAGTTTCTGAAGCACCTTCCTTATATTTTCTAAATGATTTTTACAATTTTCCTGACATTTATGTTATTCAGGTATGTCAGTGTTCGTAGGAAAGACCTCTTAACATGATCTCCATGAGGCGTTTGAATGTTCCTAGCATATTGCATAATTCAACAGCATTACCATGAACTGCCAAAGTCCTTCGACAGTAGTAACTACTGCCTTTTCTCAGACATCAGTGTGTATCTCTACCTGCCAATATCCACTCTTTAAATCAAGCATCAAAAACCTCTTTCATTTAGAAAGAGTGTCCAGAATGTCATGTTCTAGAATGAGGTAGCTCTCCTTTCTAACTTCATTCAGCTAGCAATTGTTATTGTAAAATATGCTGGGCCATTTTTCTTTCTGATCTGGATGATGGAAGAGGCCCAAGAATTTGCTGAAGGCTCAATAACAATAACTTTTTTGTGTGTCCTCTAGAAATTTTCTTATCTGTTCCTGTTTAGAAATCGGTAGATGTCCGGATGTTACCTGATGAGTGGAAGATCCCCCTATCTATTTCAAGCTCTGCTGAACTGATTTGACCTACTTCAGAAGATGTGGGGAGCAAACATCTTGGAATTCTTGAAGGGCATGTTTTTCAGCACTACTCTTTTCATTGCTTAGTTGTGCATTATGCAATAATTTTGATGTTAGGCTCTCCAAAGACATAGAGGCTGAAGTAGTTTTGGTTCATTTAACACTAGTCAGTGGGTGTACATGCTGCAGCCACTTCGCCTTTCCTAATGACTTTTGCCTTATCACTTACGTTGGCAACTCTCACCGGGATGACAGTTCTCAATAGTTCGACAAGTGCCAAGGCTACTAATACTTCTTTTGGGCTATTACAGTTCTTAAGACATTCCATCATTCCGTACCGGAAATTTCTGTTGATAGTTGTGGATCCAGGTGGTGAAAATTCTGTTTTGTTTGATACTGTGATGTCATCTTGAGCTATTACTTGGTGGATGGATTTAACTCCTTCATATTTAATTTTCCATCAGTGTCAATTTTACCACTCGACACAGCCTTTTGATTTTGATCTTAATTTCATCACCATACAGAGCCGCAGAGTGCCATCCATATGAGTTTACCTTCCAGTCGTTGAACCAGATATTTCAGATGATGGTAACATTAGCTCCTAAATCGATGATCACATTGCAGAGAACACCATTTATATGTTCCATAATGAAAGGTCCATTGCTGCTGCCATTGCAGAAATCTGAAGTGCTAATAAGGCTTCTCAGAATCTAACAACCTTTGCTCTGCGTGATAGTCACAAATTTGTTTCCTTTCTACTTGCTATGGAGCAATCTTAGCTTCTGTGCCTTGGGGTGTTCTAAAGTTCCTTTGTACGTGGCTTCACCACTACAGTGTCAGCACTTTCGGTTCGGTACAAACCAACCCTAAAGTACTGTGGTTAAGTTGTCTAGACGAGCAATCAGTTGATCCTTTGGCTGCTGCGCATAAGCATCTGTGATTGAGTGGTGGTCTGAACAATTGCTTGAATTTTATGGCATACTCTAAAGCACTTTTTTAGATCTTTGACTTTTGCAGGGTTTTCGGTGTCTTAGGATCCTACATGCCATCAATAAACTACTGCAGAGGTGGGATTTGCCTTGTTTTTGTTGGACAGTCTGAAAAGGTAAGATGAGACAGCCTTTCAACATCTGGGATGAGTTCCTGGAGTGTTTCCATAGGCTTTTATTGGTGAGATTTCACCTGAAGTCTTCTATAGGCTTTTAAACATTTCTTGCCGAAGCACAACTCCAGCACATCAGATAGATCTTCGAAGTCCAGACTCTGGTTTTCGGATTTAATTTGAAGGATGTCTGCTGCATTTGCTCCCAGAGAAGCAGCGAGATTGCAACCATTAAGCTTTGGAATTGTTCATGTTTGCCATTATAGAGAACCAAGTCACTTACCAATACTTACCATAAGGTCTTTCCATCTTATGCAGATAGCTTTAGAGAAGGTCAGGACGGCATAGGTACGAATCTGAAGCCATCATAATTGTTTCTTGATGTCACTAAATTTCTTCAAGCTGTCAGCTTTCTTGGCAACATGGAACTTGCTTCAATCATTTCTTGGCCTGCTTTTGTCTCTTCTTTAATGGACTTGATGGCCCCTTCCATCTCCTCATGGAATGCAGCAGGGCTATCACAAGCTATCTTAGCTGCTTATCCGTGTTGTCAACAGCATTCGCCATATTCTGACACCAAAAATTGTTACATTAAACAGGTTCGTAATGGATTGAATGTACACAGAACTGATTATAGCTTGATAAAATTTGTTTTCCCAAAAGAAGCTCTTCACAGTTCTGAAACTTTTCATAAAAGTACTCGCATAGCTCTTCTCAGTATGACAGGGCATACTCAGTAAATACCAATTCAAACTACTGAGAATGTTAAACAGAATGCAATGCAAAGCACATCTGAAGCTCGCACAGAGATCTCTGAATATTCTGAACTAAAAACTGAGAGACATAATTTTTTTGAAAATCAAATGTATCATGTATACTGCTACTATAATTAGATAGAATGCAGCAGTCAAAAGACAGCAGCCACCATTCATAATGTTTTTAAAAGCTCATGAACTGGCTACTGAGTGGTTACTTATGTTGTTTGATTATTTATAAATCAGGATTAGCTTGTAATAATTACAAAATTCCAATTCTTTAGAAAATATAAAAAGGTTTGAGTTAATTTTAGAAGTTTATGTCTAGTATATGTATTATTTTTCTTAGTGTCTGCTTACAAGTCTTGTTTGTTTATTTAAGCAGATTTTCATTACTTTCTTTGTAGATCCTAGTATTGACTTTTTTGCCCTGAAAGATGAAGATGTAGAAATAGAAGTAGAGTTAAATATGAATTCTGATTATTTCCGGTTGAGGATAGATTTGGTTGACAGCTGTAAGTGTTAACAATATATATTAAAAAATAATTTTAAAGTTTGTTATAAGTATATGAATATATTGTTAAAATTGTGCTATTTTTGATGCAGTACATGAAAAGTAAATAAAATAAAAAAAGCATTTAAAGCAAAAAAATGTCCAAAAAAATTTTCATGACATAAAATAAAATATTGATTGATTGCAGTAAATAATCATTCCACAGAAGTTTTAATCCATGTATGATGCATATGGTCTTTCATTTGACTTCCAAATTGTAAAAATATAATGCTAATCATTATAAAAATTTGTTGATTAAAATGATATCCAGACTTAAATAACATGTTATATTTTTATGTTATTGTAATATTTGAATGCAGTATTTTTTGTGTGCACTGCGATTTCCCTGCACTAATTTCTGTGTTATTTGCAAGTAAAACAGGGTTCGTATGGTCCTTGAAAGTCCTTAGGTTTTTGGAATCGAATTTTGGTCCTTAATTTTGACCAAATTCGTCAGGAGGTCCTTAATTTTAATCATCTGCAATTTCTGTCTGTTTTACTACTGCCATTCTGAATGTGAATTATTATTTTGGACAAATATTTTTGGTGATTCATTGACAAAATTGATTGATTCTTTTGAATGTGTGAATAGGTTTATGAATTATAATAATTTGTTCCCATTTCAAATATAAACGGTGGGATACTCAAGTTTCTGGGCAAGAAGTGAAACATATGCCTTTAGAAATTATTTCATTTTTTCTAATGAAGAACTCTTTAACTACTTTTCACTTTTGGGAATTTGAATTCTTTATTCATATTTGACGACTTAGGAACATTTCGGCGATTTTAAGATTAGTTTCTGTAGAAAATTTTTAATTCAGAAATCTGGGAATTTTTTGACTTTTTTTTTAAAATTAATTATATATATATATAATTTAATAAACAGTATTGATTAATTGATTATATTATCTCCTAAGTTTAATTAAAGTAGAATTATTTTAAAAGAGTGAATCCATACTGGTAAGTTATATTTTGAAAGATGTTTTGAAGTAATTTGAAAGCAAAATGTTAATAATTTTTTAACGGGGACTGGAGTAAAATCATCCAAAAGAATAAAATTTCAATTGTAAAAAGAAAAATTAAAAACATGTAATCATTGTCATTGATCAGAAATTAGTTGACTTTTCAAGGGGAAAAACCAACTCCCGTTCAATGAACAATTATTGAAAAAAATACGTAAATAAAAAAGTGTTTCGTCTTTACTCGAGTTATAAGTTAAAAAAGGCCAAACCGGCAATTCTAGTCAGGCCAAATATTTCCGCGAATAGAAGGAAATTATGATCCAATGCTGATACTCAAAGAACTTATTCTTATGAAGCATTTTAGTCAATTCAATTTGGAGTAAAAAGCAATTACTGTAGAGAAATCCTAATTAACTCGAGTAACCGTCCCCGACACTTTCATGTTTATGCATTTCAGTTCTATGTTATTTATAAAAATTAAACATTGGAAATTGTCATTATGAAATCGAATTCAAAGTAAAGTTGAAATAAACATAGAAAATTACAAAATAAGATAAATAATGCAAACTTTTTAAAAATAAATCAAAGACAATATAAATATAATATAAAAATAATATAAAAAATAAAATATAATAAGAACAGTGAATGTGCATAAAGATATAAAGGCCAGAAAAGGTATTAAGTAACTTACATTCTTTCTTGTGGGGGAGTTGGCAAAGTGTTCTCTTCGTGTCTGACTCATAAGTGTAGGGTGTCCGAAAATTCTTAGCGGCAGTGGGGGCTTTGAATAATATCAGTCGGTAAGACTTGGGTGAAGTAATTTATGGTAGTGGGTGGGACTTGGAATTCTTGAGGGATGTATTATGTGGAGTTCTTATTTGAGTGAGACTGTCAAGATTTTTTTGAAAAGACTAGTGAATGGAAATTAATTAATTTCTGGCTAATTGTCGTGTCGCAATGATTAAGAATTTAAGAAAGGAAAAAGGAATTTTTACTGTCCAAGAGCTATTAGACAGACTAAAGTCATGAAATAGGCCCATTTTTTAAGTAACAGTAAGGGTCTGAAGACAATTAGCTTTTTACAATATATACAACTGAGTAATTACACTATATACAAATCCTTCAACTGACAGTCATCCAACTTATACCGCCTTCTCAGGTTTAGGAACAAATTATCATATCCCTATCAGTTAAATGATTTAGAGTGAGTATTTAACGCCTGCTCTTTTAAGGCAATGGTTGATAAATTGAATGGGAATTAGATTATTTTTGAGAATTTTAATAAGGAGTAAAATTTTGCATTGTAAATCTATTGTATCTGTGCATATAATTTTAATTCGTTGTATTTTATTAATTATAGTATTGTTAATTACTTTTTGGATATGTTGGAGTTCCAATTTATTAATTTGTTAGTATTGAAATTGAAGTTTTTTGTTTTGTCAAAGAGTAAAATTTTTTGGTAGTTAATGATTTGAAGATCCAGAAAGTCTATGCTATTTTGTGAATTATTAGTTTTTTTAAGTGTAAAACAATTCGGATAAATCTCGGAGTGTTCAATTTTACCAAAATTTTTAATTGTAATAAGGTCATCAAAAACATTATAACATTGACCAGTTTTATTAAAATAGTGCTAATATATTAAAACCGTATTCAAGAAATAACATTAAAATAAAACATTTACATTTTTCACTATCATATTATAAAGTGACATTAATTTCCATTTTGGTGACTTATTATACAATATTTTGAATCTGAAAAATAAACAAAGTAATAAATTCTTAAATTGTGCTTTAGCACAATTTACAAAACAATTCTTAGCAAAAGCAAAATAGCTGTGTAATTTATTAAAAATTCCTTCATTTTGATTTTTTCATAATTAGAGTTTTGCTCATGTAATTGTCTCAATATTCATCAGTTTTCTCTCTAAAGTTTCCTCTGATTTTTTTCCCAACATATTTCTGGCTTTTTGCTGTTATATAATTAGTAGGGGTAATTTTTCTTTAGAATTCTGGACACTGCAACTTGGAAAGTTTAGAAAGATTTGGAGGCAGGATTTTTATAGACCTATGAATCTAGAAGATTCCAGCAAAATGTCTTCATGGTATTAACACATAATGGATATATTTTACAGAACGTTTGTGTTGAACTTTTACTTTTTGGAGAATTTTCTGAAGAACAATGGAAACATAGTATTTGAATGTTTTACTTCTGATACTAGAAGTTTTTTCTTAACATGTTTATCTTCCTTTTTTCTCTACATTTCACTAGACACAAGCATGTAAAAATATCATAAATGCTTCTAATCTTATCACATAGACAGCCATTTATAGAAAGAAATTTTTCTATTAATAAAGAAATTGAAAACTGACAATTTTTTATTCATATGTCTCAATGCGTTGTCAGTGGCATAGCTAGAATGGGGCAAGGGGGGACATCTGTCTCCAGGTACTGCATCTATAGAGTGCCAAATTGATGTTACAAATTTTGGAATGAAATGTTTTTCATTCTTGGCATACAGAAGGGGGCGCAAAATCTTCAGTTGTTCCTGGACATTGAAAACCCTAGCTACGGCTCCGTGCATCATATGCAGAGCTTGCACTACACATTTTCCACCTGATGCAATACTGTGTGGATCCTAAATTCTGCTGCCTAGTGCCTTCCTAAATTCTAAAATTTTGCCATTTCTAGATTTTGTTGCTCGGTGTCTCACTAAATTCTAAAAATTCTGCTACACTGGCTCTGTAACTGGCCCTTACCATGTATATATCATTTTATATTTATTCTGGATGTTCATATTACTAAAGAAATAAAATTAGCACATTTTCTTACACATTCTAAATGCATTTAGTTTTTCAGAATAACAGAAATCTTTAATTAAATCCAAAAATTCTAAAATGAAGAGGAAACATATTGAAGAAAGGAAACGAATATGTAAAGAGAAATAAAATCATTCTTCAAAGATATGTACAGTTATTATTATGTAGATTAAGCAGTTGTTTATAATTTCAGCCATTGTTATAATCTTCACTTTCCATTTCTTCACCAGAATGAGAATCACTTGGATAGATTTTAAACTAAGGTTTTGGGGTTGTAAGACAGAATTTGTTTCCGGCCTCCGCTTACACACTGCATTAGTTCCTACTATCTCTGATAATTTGTAATTATTTGTCTTTGCGTTATCTCTGCCGTTATTTGAATCTATTATGCTATAACTAGGTTACAACATGTTACTGAGCCATCTTAGATTGAAATTAAGTTGTGTTGTCTTTGACTACGAGTTTACATTTTTAGTTTGAATTTAAATGTTTAATTGGATCATCATAAGCTGTTGTTGATTTTGCTAGCATAAGAACATGCCTTTATATTCTAAGATCTTTTTAAATAAGAGGTTTATTTAAACCTTTATCTGACTTTGTAATTACTTTCAGACATAAAGATTATTTGCTTTCCGTCTGTCAGGGTTTTGGACTATTTAACTTTTTTCAGATTATGTAAAACCTCATAGATACATAGTCAAGAAATAGACAAGTTAGGAGATAAAACATGTAGAGAAACTAGTGGGAATATTGATTTACGTATTGAAACAAATTTCTAATTGTTAGAAAAGATGCTTAAAGAGAAAGAAATTGATATAAATTGGCCAGAATGTCTGGAAAGGCTTCAAATTAAAAGATGCGTAAATATTTTGTTGAGTAATGTTGCTACAAAACATAAATGTTTTGTAGCTTTTAATGTGTAGTTATCGTAATATCATATAAGAATCAATGCCTTTACATGTATTTTAAACTGTGACATGTTAATAAATTGTGATGCTTATAGTGCTTTTTTAACAAATATTAAAAAAAAAAAAAAAAAAATTTAATAGTGGCCATGTCAATCTATAATGACTAGAGGTATCTGTATTTGTAACTATCTGATCTCCGTTAAAAGTTATCTCTGCATATTAAAGTGAGATATTGCCTTTCATTAATCATTACCGTGGTCACAAGGTACAGTACAA